AGCCTCACAGTCTTGGTCTTGACCGGCTGTGGAGGTTCTGAATTTTCCTTGGGTCCCTCTGCACCTGAAGTCCCTTATTTTGATAGAAAAATGCCACACAGGACAGGCGGCGCAGTCACGCCTCTCCTATTCCCGACCCCTGCTTTCTCGTCCCTCTAAAAGCTGCGAAGGTTGGGCCGCTCCTGCCAGGGTCAGTCGTCCACGCAGCCCCGCTGACTCAGGGCCCTGCTGGTAAGGCGTGCCGCCTCTCCTCCCGAAGTGGAGCCCGCCCGCCTTCCCAGCTTCCCCGCTTCCCTCGCGGCGGGTGCGCCCACGTGCCGGCGCCTGGCCAGTGTGTAGTGGGCGCGCCCCTTCCAGGCCTGGTCCTGGAAACCACCCCCTCTCTGGGCCCTGGGAGCGCCCTGCTGGTGCCCGAATCCCACGGTGGTCCTGAGTTTATTGTTGAGACGTGGTCACTTGAGAGGGAGAGGGTGCTGACAGGTGGGACGTAGGGACAATGTCCTAGACCAGACTGGGCCGGCGGACTATGGGACACTGGCCTCCTGTGCCAGCTTGGCGGCTGAACCACTCGACTTCGGGCCCAAAGTCCTGCCCCTTCCCCACTACAGCTTGTGAGCTGTAGCCCACCCACAAGGAGTGCGCCCAAGCCAGACAAGGTCCCCATCACCGTCACCTCTGCCTCCATCTCGTGTGAACACGGGAAGAACGCCTTTGCTGACCCAGATGGTTCATGGTCGTGAGACCCCTTCCACACACACACACACACACACACCCTGGGGGAGGAAAAACCTCGTCTCCCTAGCAGTCAGGTCTTATTTTTCACCTTTGGCTGCTTTAAGTTACCCTGGACCCTTTGGCAGCAAAGCGTGCAGCTGCGCTCGCCTCTGGACCGTCCGTCCCCCGTCCTGCCTGCGTAAGTTACCATGGTAAACTTCGTAATTGCGTATAAAGTTGCCCGCATCGGTTTTCAGGCTCAAGGTTCCTTCTCAGTTCGGAGGATAATACTTAGTATCTGCAATGCCCGACACGAGTCAAACCCGGGGTTCTGGTTTTGAGGCAGCATTAGCCCGCAGAGTACCTCATGCCACGTTTGCTACCGAACCCCGAGGACACAGGTGCTTGGGCACACGGTGTAGGTAGGTCCATGGGGAAGACGCTGGGAAGAGAAACTCCTATGGGAAAGGACATGTCCTTTCTCTTTCTCTCTTTCAAATATCGGATGCATATGGCCAAACTGCTCCTTACACATCGTACTCACCAACACGCCTGCAGTAACGTACAGGAGCGCGGATTTCCGCTCCTTTTCACCGGCCGAGTCTTTGCAAACCTTTGGATCTTTGCAATCCAATTGGACAGAATTCTTTCTCACATACAGCCGTAACAGTTTCAGTTTACATTTGTTCTAATATTTTGAAATCTGTACATGGAAAGTGATGGCCCTGCCTCTGTCTGCCTCGCTCGCGACATCGCTTTCACCTTATTTCACTTAGAATTCCTAGAATTCGTCAGTTTTACTGACATGGGCTTTGCATTTGCTGTTTGCTGCTTGCAAGGCTCTTCCCCCAGGCCTTTCCTTAGTAAAAGGCTGTGATCTGAGTACTTGCGTCTCCCTAAGTTCTATGTTCAAATCCAAACCCTCAAGGTGATGATGTTAGGAGATGGGGCCTCTGGGAGATGAATGGCGTTAGTGTCCTCATAAAAGAGGCCCCAGAGAGGTCCCTCAGCCCTTCTGCCACGTGAGGGTGCAGTGAAAAGTCAGTGCTCTGAGGAAGCCAGCCCTCACCAGACAGTGAATTTGCTGGCGTCTTGATCTTGGACTTCCGAGTCTCCAGAACTATGAGAAATAAATGTTTGTTATTTAAAAGCCACTCAATTTATGGCATTTTTGTTACAGCAGCCTGATGGGCCTGAGGCATAGATTCTTTTCATCCTTTAAGACTTCGCTCAAATGCCACCTCTTCACAGAATTTTAACTATCGTACTTCTGCCCCCCCTTCTGCTATTTGCTGGATAGCATTTATCACACCCATTGTTCTTTATTGGTTGGTTTGCATATTAGTATTTTCTTTATTCCACCACAGAGAGGCAGGCTTGGTGAAAGCAAGGAAGCAGTTTGTCCTGACGGTGCTGGCACGCCCCGCACAGTCTGGCACGTGGTGCTTGGGGCAAACGCTGTTGTGTCCACATCCTCTCAGCCCACGCTGACTCCAGCTCTCCAGTGGTGATGGAGAGTTCCCATGAAGTCTCGGGAAACCCTGAGCATACTGCCTAGAAGTTCAGGGAGGTTAATCCGTAACCAGTTGGGGACGAATGTGTCAGCCCTCCCTGGTAGCATAGGAGTGGGACTGGACCTCACCTGCCCACAGAGGTAACCAGCTCAGTCATGCCTGGCTCCTTGGGTTGGCTTTCTCTTCCTCATTGGCCTCCTTCCCAAATAAACTAAAGCTGACCTTTGAACAACACTGGTTTGAACTGCGTGGGTTCACTTATATGCCGATTTTTTTTCCCCAATAAATACATACCAGAGTGCTACACACTCCTTAGATGGCTGAATCGGCAGATATGAGGGTCAACTGTAAAACTGTGGATTTTCGCCTACCCTTCACGTTGTTCAAGCGTCAACTGTACTTGCAGCAAAACTCTGGTGTCAGACTGCCTTTGCTGACACCCCAACTAGACAACACCAGTGTCTGTTTGCAGAAGTAATGGATGGATGATTTCTGGCTTCGCAGTTCTCACGAGTCAGCCAGAAGCAGCAGCCTAGGCCTGCAGGTGGAGGTTGACGGAAGCCAGTTGGCACCCACCGTGCAAATACAGGAGCCAGGAGGGACAGCTGAGATGCGGGCGGTGCAGGAAATCCACGCAGAGCAGGGAGGCCTGACGGCCCTGCTTTGAGGGTGAGAGTTTTAGACGAGGACGATGAGTTACTAGGTTGCCTCAGTTGCCCCCGCGTGACTAAGGACAGAGTGGAGAAGGCCTGCTATTTTGTGCAGGTCCTCCAGTCCAGAAGGACAGCAGCACCTGCCCATTGCATGAAGCCATGGAAGTGGATTTCCTGGCTCCCTGGGGCAGGGGCACGGCACCTGCTTTATCCACGTCTGTCTTGTTGCACACGGGCTTCTCCCCAGGACGGTGCTCCTTTGGCCAGCAGCCAGCGGGGCTGGGAGGTGATGCCGCTTCGGGGAGAGTGACAGGTATGAACACCCTGACTCCTTGCCACTCTCTCCCTTGTCCTCCAAGTGGGACAAGTCTCGGGCATGTTCTACGGTTGCCCAAGGTGGTCGCCGTCATGACTTTCCCTGCTCTGTCCCACTCCCCCGCCCCCGCTGATGTTTCCTGGGGTCACCTCCAGACACTGCCGGCCTCCATGCTTTCTCAGGATTGGTTTTTGGGGGAACTTGACCTAAGACACCCCTGGCTCACAGGTCATTGAGCTAATAATACTAAATAAAGTATCTTAGTCACCTCCCTCATTTCCTCCTCCAGTCCTTCAGTCTATCACCACAAACCATTGCCTTCTCATCCAAATTTATCTCTGAACTTCCCGGAAAAGTCAGAGCTGCCGCACTTATGACTAGCCTTCCATTTTCCAAAATCTGGTGCCTGCATGGAAGATGTGAGGGAAAGCTTGACCTTGCTGAGCAAGGTTGGCTTTCATTGCTCTGCCTGCCACATTGGCTTCCTGCTGGATGCCCAGCTAAGGCCACTGCACCTTAATGACAATCCAGCCGGGATGACAAGAAGTGCAGGAGAGCACTGTCTGGGAGAGCGTTAGCGGCCAGGGGAAGGGGGCTTGCGCTGGTTTTTTGAGTAGCTGTTACTTGCTGTCCTCACCTCCGTGGACACCCTCAGCCTTTTCCCATTAAATGTATTTTACCCTTTATCAGATTAAGAAAACTTTCTTCTCAAGGGAGCCCTCCTACACTGCTGGTGGGAATGCAGTTTGGTGCAGCCACTGTGGAAAACAGTATGGAGATTCCTCAAAAGACTAGGAATGGACTTACCATATGACCCAGCAATCCAACTCCTGGGCATGTATCCAGAAGGAATCCTACTTCAAAAGGACACCTGCACCCCAGTGTTCATAGCAGCACTATTTACAATAGCCAAGACATGGAAACAGTTGCCATCAACAGCTGACTGGATAAAGAAGTTGTGGTATATTTATATGATGGAATACTATTCAGCCATAAAAACCGACAACGTAACACCATTTGCGGCAACATGGATGTTCCTGGAGAATGTCATTCTAAGTGAAGTAAGCCAGAAAGAGAAAGAAAAATACCATATGAAATCACTCATATGCAGAATCTAAAAAAAAATGAACATAAATACAAAACACAAACAGATTCATAGACACAGAGTACAAACTTGTGGTTGCCAAGGGGGCGGGGGGTGGGAAGGGACAGAATGGGACTTCAAAATTTGTAGGTACTGACAGGCATATGCAGAATAGATAAACAAGATTACATGGTGTAGCACAGGGAAATATATACAAGATCTTGTGGTGGCTCACAGAGAAAAAAATGTGACAATGAACATATGTATGTTCATGTATAACTGGAAAATTGTGCTCTGCACTGGAATTTGACACAACATTGTAAAATGACTAGAACTCAATAAAAAAATGTTAAAAAATAAATAAAAGAAAATTTTCTTCTCTTTGTAGTTTAAGAGATTTTAAAAAACCATTAATGGACATTGAATTTTATTTCATGTGTTTTATTCATCGATTGAGATGATTACATGACTTCTCTCCATTAACTTGTATATGTGGCAAAATTAATTCTTTTTTTCTTTTTGGTAAATTAAATTCTTAGGTTGAACCATTTCTGATTTACAACAGAAAGTTTTTTGTATGTTGCTGGATTTGATTTTCTAAATTGTGTTTAGGCTCTTTGCTTCTATGTTCACAAAATAGATTAACTTCTAATTTTCTTTCTTACATATGCTTGTTTGGATTTGCTTATGTCAGCCTTGCAAAAGGAGTTGCAGACAGTGTTTGAAATCTTTAGGAGTGTTTGTGTAGTACTCAAGTGTTCTGTTTCTTGCATTTCCGGGGGATTATGCCTGTTTTCTATGCGAAACATTTTAGATGATTCCATCTCCGGGGGCTGGGGAGCCGGGGGGCGGGTGGGTGGCGATCAGAGCTCATGCTTAGCATGTATGAGTTTCCTGGGTTCAATCCCCAGCGTCTCCATCGAAGAAAAAAAACAAAAAAAAAAACCAAAACCCAGCAACAACAAAAAAGATGACTCCGTTTGCAATTATTCAAGTTTTCTGTTTCTTTTTTCAGGCAATTTTGGTATATTTCTAGTGAAATTTCTCCCTTTCACGTAAGTTTTCAACTTTATTGGTATGACATCACTCAGATCTTCTCAGCACTTGCAGTTACAGCCTCCTTTCATAGTGCAATTTCTTTGTGCCCTCCCTTTTTTCTCTTGATCAACATTTCTAGAAATTTAAAAGTTTAGTTGCTTCCCCAGTAAGAACTAACTTTTGTCTTTGTTGAACATCTGTTGTATCTTTGATATTTCTAAATGTCTCTCCTCTTTATTCTTTCTTTCTACTTTCTTTGAGTGTATTCTGTTTTCCCTCTAATTAATTGTCTCATTAATTTTCAGCCATCTTATACATGAATTTAAAGCTGTCACTTTCCCCTTAACACCGTTTTAGCCTTCTCCCACGAGTGTGCTGTGTTCTTTTCACAGTTGTCAGTCTGAAGCATTTTCTGACTTCCATTAGGATGTTTCTCTGTCCCATGAGTTAGGAATGTTTTACACATTTAAATTAATTTCTTAAATTGGCCATTTGTTGCACTGTGGTCAGGGATATAATCCTTGTAACACCCATTCTTTGAATTTGTTCAGGCTTGCTTTGTAGCCCCACTTGTGACTACTTTTTGTAAATTCACCGTGTGTATTTGAGAAGAATGTGTGCATTCCGGCTCCTGGGTGAATACAATGCAATACCCATTAGGTCACACTCGTGAAGTGTCATAAAAAGCACTGAAACAACAGGACCCCTCACAGGTCTGAAGCCAGGGGAGGGTGATGCTCCCCACCTCGCTGGCCCAAGGCTGGGGCCCTGCTCCCCGGGCCAGGCAACCGAGCACCCAGCTTCCCGGGGCTCTGCGGCCCTCAACATGTGCTCCAAGGCCCTCCTCTCAGGAGAGTCTGAGCTTCAGGAGGGCAGGGATGTGTCTGTTTTCTTCCCCGTTGTTCCTGCAGACAAGAGTAAACACTAAGTATTTAAGTACGTGAATCAATGGCTGAAGAAAAGGTGGCCCCTTGTCAACGTGCCAATCAAATTTAATAAGCAGATGTTTTTATTTTTAAGCTCTACTTCATTTTTCAATTAGCAATACATTGCTGTGGCTCAAAACTGAAAAGGTGCAAAATAACACACGGTGACCGTGTTCCCAGCCACCCGGTCCCCCTTTCTGGAAGCCACCGCTGCTAACACCTTGCTTCTGCTCTGCGGGGGAGCTTCGTTCACACGGAGCCTGTGTGCGTCTGTGTGTCTAACGTACTTTTCAGTCATAATACAGTGGTTCATGCTCGACCTTCCGCCCTCAGTTCTGAGCTCACATTTGAGGGCTTGGGGTCGTTTGCCGGGCGGACACCAGGTGGCAGCATAGACCGGGCTGGGGC